ATGATAAATTCGTTGTTTTGGCTATGGTTTATGACATGCTCCTGTTTGGTTGGATTATGTGGTTGAAATTGTGTGATGTTTTCGAGATGTAAATAATATTGTATGTACTCTGAATTTCTGAAAAAAACTGCAGTAAACTGAACTTTTTTGACACTAAGGGCGTGTACTATGAATTTGGCACTTAAATTGCTATGTCAAGTATGTGTGCTGCAGTAAACTGAATTTCTGGAAAAAAACCTGTAGTAAACTATTTTTTTTACACTGAGGGCGTGTACTATGAATTTGCCACTTAAATTGCTATGTCAAGTATGTGTGCTGTAGTAAACTGAATTTCTGAAGAAAAAAACTGTAGTAAACTGATTTTTTTGACACTGAGGGCGTGTACTCTGAATTTGACACTTAAATTGCTAGCAGCCGCCGTCGCCCGCCTAGGGTTCTTTTTTTGGAAGACTACAGATTTGGGAATCGGGGGGATTTGCAAACAAAGAGACCACCATAACAGGTTATGTTGGGGCCACTGTATGCAGGGACTTTTGACGCGAATAAATATTTTCCGAGGAGGGTCTGTGCAAGTTTACCACGCACGCGGATGGCTCCAGGACGTTTTCTGTCACTGACAATGGCCCCGTGCTTACGTGGCATGCCACGCCAGCGGCGGATATGGAGGGAATGACCGTATCTGCACCAAAGTGCAAGTTGTATGACCAGAAAAACTTATTTTGATAGTTCTAGCACTAAACTGCACCTCCAACGCAAGTTGTATGACCACCAATGATATTACCTCTTTCGTTTTATAACCCCTAAAAAAGTAGTTTGGTTTTATATAAAAAATGCATTTTTATTAGAAAAATGTCATGCACCTAAAAGAGGCATCTCTTAATAATAAGAAATGTCATCCCTTAATAAAAAGGAAAAATGTCATCTCTTAAATAAAAAATGCAATCTCTTAATAAAATAGAAAAATGCCATCTATTATATAAAAATGCTATTCCTTAATATAAAAATGCTATTCCTTAATATAAAAATGCCACCTCTTAATAATAAAAGAAATGCCATATTTTAATATTTAAATGACATCTCTTAATAAAATGGGAAAAAATGCTATCTCTTGATAAATAAAAAATGACATCTCTTAATTTGAAAATGCCATGTGACAATTTTTTTTATAAACTAGCATGTTAAATTTTCC